CCACACGGCGGAGGGTTGGAGGGTCCTCCCACTCGTCCACAGCTGGGACCGCCCTCCTGTCCTGCCCGGGACAGCGGTGCTCGTGAACCCCGATGCAGTGGAGTCTCCCAGGCCTCTCGCGGCGCTGTCTACACGGGGGGCTCCCGGAGTCTCCCCGACGGGAGTCCAATGGGCCCGTCTACGTGAGCAGGGTCCCCCCACTTCCCATCCAAAGCGACGGGGAGCTCAGCCCGCAGGCCCGTGCCCAGGTCTTGCTGGGAGAGACCTGGTGACATCCGTCTGTGCCCAGTTCCTGCTCAGCCAGGCCGCGGCCCCAGACAGAGGACACACAGAGAGAGGGAGAGAGCGCCAGCCCTGGCCCACCCGGGCAGCCTGATGAACCCCCGGTTGACTTCAAAACCTGTTTGCCTTCTCACTCCCCACCATTTCTCCCTTAAATCAACCGAAATAATCCCCAGCCAGCGCGGGGAGCCCCCCCCCCTCCGCTGGGTCCCAGGGGAGGCCAGTGGCGGTCGGGGTGGACTCTGCCCGATGTCCCTCTGCAGGTCGCGCTGTCCTGCACACCCCCCCACCCCCGCCGGAGAGGGTCTGCCTGCGGCCTCCCGGTTCCTCACACTGCACACCCACCCCGGGATGTGTGGTTTCCGGGGCTCAGGGCCCACCTTCCCTGCGCAAACACACGCACCGAACGCTGGCCGAGCGCGGCAGCAGCAGCAGCAGCAGCAGCAGCAGCAGCGCAGAGGTGATGTGTGGGTGCAGGCAACACTCAGCCGCGTTTAGGGTCGTGAGGAGCACACAGCGAGGGGACCAGGGGCGGGCAGAGGGGAGCAGCGTTAGTGCTGGTGTCAGGGGGCGGGGGTCTCTCCAAGGAGGTGACCTCTGCGCAGAGACCGACCTGCCTGCAGTGACCCGGAGCCACGCGCTCACGGGGAAGGCCGTCCCGGCCGAGGGGAGGGCTGCGGGGGAGGCCCGGAAGTGGGCAGGTGCGTGGTGGGGAGGGAGGCTGTCCAACAGCCCTCCTCGCCCCACACCCCAAGGGTGGGGACAGGTCAGGAGACAGGCCACCCCAGAGTGCGGGTCACATCGGCCCATATACGCAGAGCGAACGCGCTCGATGTCCAGAAACAGACCCTCTGCCCGCATTCCGCTCCCTCTGCTCCGTCGTGGAGAAGGACCGGCTGTGCGGTGGGCGTCCCGCAGAGCCCCCTCCGAGTGCAGCCGAGACCTCGGCAGGTATGGTGGGGCTTCGCTCCCTGGACAAGCAGGGCGACGCCCGTTAGAAGGGGTGACCGGTAGGAAACCGGGAAGCAGTCTCAGGTGCTTTCCGCCCACGGAGAGGCGTCGTGCAGAGAGACTGCGCCCTGTGTGATGATGCCAGGTCGTGAGACCAACCTATGTTTTAAAGAAATCAGCACCCTTGACGTCTCTGAGGGTGTGAGGTGGACGGGAACCGGGACAGGGCATGAGGGAATTTCTGGGGTGAGGGTCCTGTTCTGTACCCCGAGAGCAGTCACAGGTTCACAGGTGGGCGGCTGTGTTACTGTGACTGTTCATGCACTCGGCAAGGGAGTCATTCGCATGCTCCAGTATTTCGGGGTGGATCGCACTGTAGCACTTAGAGAGGCCCCCCCAGATACGTCTGATCGATGGATGGTAGCGGGGCGGGTGGCTGGAGGGGTTTCTGGTGACATGTAATGAAATGCTGGCGGTGGAACCCAAGTAGCGGCGGGAACTGATCGTCCCCCACCCGATACTGGTAACTCCCATGCGTGTTGGAACGTCTCAGGAGAAGATGGGGGGGGGGGCGTTGATGCAGGCACGGCTGAGTTGTTGTGGCTGACACGTCTCACAGTGTCCCTGGCAGCCACGCCCCGCCGCTGCGGTGGTGGAGGCGGGGTCGTGGAAACGGGGTTTGGATCTCGGAGTCTGGGGGAGCCAGAGCGGGGCCAGCCTTCTGGGGACCAGATGGTTCGCACACCGCTTCGGGTAAATGCCGAGGACGCCACCTCCGCCAGACACAGGAGGGGTGCGTCTGCTGCCCCCGGGGAGCTTAGCCTCAGAGCCCAGAATAAACCCGCACGCCAGGGACCGCGGGATGCGGTTGCCTTGGAAGTTCCTGCTAGCGGCGTTGAAATTCGGGCCCCAGACGTGCTGCCCCTCGGGGCCGCGTGGGGGGAGCCGCAGCCTCCCCTCTGTTATTAGAATCAGCAGCTTCCGTGGCGCAAGCCGATGCCCGCGGAAGGCTCCGGGGCTCAGCCCTGCCCTCTCTGGGCCCTGGGCACACAGAGGTGGTGTCTGCGGAGCCCCGGCTTCGTTGTGCGGAACAGCGAACCACGAGGTGACGACGACTGACGCTGAGACGGAAAGCCCCTGAGCATGCATTCCGGGGGCTTTGGTTCTGGGCCCGAGCTGCTCTGCGGCGCACCCGCGGGTGGTGCCGACAGCGGCTTTGACAGGACGGCAGAGACACACCCCCTGGCGTCTGTCTCTGGGTTGGCCAGCTTCAGGGGGGCTGTTCCCCTCATCCCGTCGCTGGGGCACACGGTCCTCAGACTGCGGGAAGCAGGGGCGCCGTCCCTCAGAAGCCCACGAGTCCCCCCCTCCATGGGCAGAACTGGACCTGACCCTACCCAGCGAGGCGTCGCCGAGACACAGCTCCTCCTCCCAGCGGAATTAAGAAGCTCCGCCCTCGAGTTCTCGTGACACGCAGCGACGCAGCGGCGCCTGTTCTAGAACAGTCCGAAATGTTCGGGGTAGAAGTAGTATTTCCTCCCGTCTCCAGCCTCCATCCAGATCTGCAGCCTCAGGTCCTCCCTCCCTCCTCCACGCACCCGCCCCACCTCTAGTTCTTTTCCTGAGATGCGGGACCCCGGACTGGGCAAAGGGGGGGAGGAAGGACTGTGTGTGTTTGTGGGTGTTCTCAGGGACTTTGGGGTCTCAATGAACGCCTTAAGTCATGACTCTAAGTCTGTGCAACCTTTGAATAAATAATTCCTTTCCTTTTCTCACACACACACACACACACACACACACACAAAACCACGGAGACGCCCTTCACACTGGGTGAAGGCCCACCCTACCAGCCTCACTTGAACTTGACCACCTCTGTGCACCTAAGGTCACATCCTGAGGTCCCGGGGTTGGGAGTCCAACACAGGAACTGGGAGGAGACGGCAGTTCAGCCGGTTACAGCGGCTGACTCTGTTTCCCCTCGCGCACCTGTTCTGAGGGTCAGACGGAGCCTCTGGGCAGACTCAGCCTGACGGGCCCCTCCCCCACCCCCGCCCCAGGACCCCCAAATGCCCCCACGTCCCCACAGCGGCCACCTCAGCGGCTCCAGGACGCCCAGGGGCTTTGAGAAGCGTCCGGAAAGAGCATTTCACGCGGGGACCAGAGCTGACCCCGGGACAGACGCTGGCAGGGTGGAAATGAGGCTTCTGTGTTTGAGATTTGTACTGGGCATTGATTTTCTGTAAGGGCACTTAATCACACCCGCGGTGCGGGCGCGTCTGAGTGGAGCGCGGTTCGGGAAGCGGGGGAGGTCCGGGGGCTTTAACCACTGGAAACCGAGTAGGGATGTCGGCTCCACGTGGCTGCTGTGGGTGGGGGGGGCGTGAGCCCGCTCGGGTGCCCCAGACGGGACCGGAAGCACCCACGGGGGCCCACAACTGAACCCCGTGTGGACGCAGCCCCACACGCAGCCCGGTGGGAGCCGGGGGCGGCCGCTGCCCAGCACTGGCCTGGAGAGTGGGAAGGTGGCGTCGGCCTCACACACTGCCGCCCCATCGCTGGGAGCCCCCCACCGGCTCCCCGGCCGCCAGCAACGACGGTCCCACAAGTGAGGGGCCCCTGCCCTGAGGCCACGCCCTGGTGACCCAGGACGAAAGAGGGCAGAGGTCGGAAGAGCGACTTTACCAAGGACCAAGGTCACAGGGCCCATTCTGGCGGAGGGGAGGCGGGCTGTCACCCTGCCCGGCTGCACCGGCTCCGCTCCTCGAACCCGGCGCGCAGTAGGTTGTGTTAGACCCCCGTGTGTCAGCGTCACCTGTCCTTGCGGAACTTCTGGTCCTGCGCCCGCATCCCTGCCACGGCTGCTTCCTCAGCGCGGTCGGGGACCCCCACGGTGCCCCCCCGGAGGACACCCGGCTAACAGAGTCGGCCTTTGACACCCACGCGTCTCGGCGGCTCGCTGTGCCACCCCACAGGGAGCTGACGCCAGCCACGGCGCGGAGCCACGGGAGTCCACGGGGGGGGGGCCACCGCCTGCGGAGAGCCGGCTGTGGCGCCCGTGGGGCCTGTACCCTCCCGAGCGAAGTCCAAGTGCAGCAAAGCCCAGCTCCGAGCAGTCGCATTCCGTGACCTTCCTCACGGGCGGTGCGGGCGAAGGTCTCCACGCTGGGAGAGCGTGGGGGTCAGGACACACGGGCTCCCACGTGCCGGTGTGTGTCTCGGACCTGCGTCCCTCCGGCGGACCTGGGCTCCGTGGGGCCGAGGGGGCCGGTACGTGCAGCAAATCACTTTAACATAAGACTTGGGAGGGGCACCAAGAATGAGAGTGTGTGCCGCCCTCGATCCGTTCGCGCCCGTCCCTGGGGGGCTCCCTGAGCACACCCGCGGGTGAGAGGCAGGTGGGCAGTGGCCCCCCACCGCCTACCCCGGCCGGGTGGCCTCGTAGTGACCGCCTGCCTGCTCCCCCGTGTTTGCTCAGCCGTGTCTAAACCTCTCTCCAGGATTTGTGCCCTGCACGCGGGCGGTTAGCAGGACATGCAGTGTTTTAAGCTGTTAGCTTCCTGAGCTGCAGCTCCCCTCGCGTGTCAATGAAAGACAGGCAGCTGTGCCTGTGCGTCGGTGACAGCCGTCCAGGACAGTCTGAGAGTGGCCGCACCGGTGTGCGAGCGAGTGGACCAGGGTTTGCCGGGCCGCCAGCTGCTCGGGCCCCCGGGGGAAGCCCTGGCTGCTGACCTGGCCCCTCTCTCTCTCTCTCCCCCGTCTCGCTGCAGGGCCAAGGTGAAGAAGGGCGTGAGCATCCTGAGCGCCCGGACCAGCGAGCCTCAGCAGTGGGACGTGCGGCAGGAGGTGGGAGACGGCGGGAAGCACGCCACCGCCACCGTGGTGTGCCAGCGCCTGGGGCCCAGCGCACGCGACAGGTAAGCGCCGCCTCCCTCTGTGGCCGACACTCGGGGTCCCCGTGACCCAGCGGGGTGGCCTCCTGAGAGGCTTGGTTGACACTCACGTTTGCTGCTGCTTAGCCGGGCTGCTGGCCCTCGGCCCTCACACCTGGGCAGCCCCGTGTAGCCCTGGCTGCCACGGCTCAGCTGGTTGGAGCGTCGTCCCGTAAACCACAAGGTTGCAGGTTCGATTCCCGGTCGAGGCACATGCCTAGGTTGTGGGTTTGGTCCCTGTTCCAGGTGCATACGGGAGGTATCGGATCGATGTCCCCCCCCCTCTAAAAGCAGCGAGGAAACTGTCCTTGGGAGAGGGTCACCGAGGGGGCGGCGCCGTCTGGCAGGTCAGCCGGAGGGCAGGGCGCTGGTTCAGAAGGCCCGTGGTCCAGGTGTTGGAGCGGAGCTGAGTCAGCGGGACTCGACTCTGCTTCGCCGAGGCTCGCGCACCCTCTTCACCGACACCCATGTCCCCGGGGGCCGTGTCACCTCCCGGTGCCCTCCCTGCGGGACCAGAGGCGGGCCGCTTGCTTGCCAAGTGGGAGTTCTTGGTGCACAGGGCTGGGCTCGTCCTCACTGGGAATGGCTCTACGGGCAGGAGGTGGCGGCCGGTGGCAGTGACGCACCGGGGCTCGCGCTCACGGTGGACTGTTGGGAAGACCTGGTGACAGGGGCCCGGACGTCAGACCCTGGGTGCCTGTCCCTGCCCCCCAGGGCCCTGCTGCTGCCGCTGCCGGCGGGCTGCTGCACCTCCCTCCCACGCCTCACACACCTGCAGCGTCGGTGTGCAGAGGCTGGGCCGAGGAGTGATTCGTCTGCTCTGCAAATTTGGGGTCACAACCTGGGTACAGGCTTTAAAACCCCTGCGCTTTCATCTGGCTTCTGTGGACAACACCTGTCCTGACAGCCCTGTCCCTGCACCGTTTCCCGTCGTGGGGACTTCCCGCGAGGTGAACCATGCATCTGCGTCGCGGGACGTTCACGTGGTTTTCACGCTCTGCCCGCGTGGACAGGAAACTCCTTTCTGCGTCAGCCTCTGTCCACTTCTCGTCTTGCTCCGGGCTCCTTCTTTTTTTTTTTTTAAGATTTTATTTATTTATTTTTAGAGAGGGAAGGGAGGGAGAAAGAGAGAGAGAAACATCCATGTGCGGTTGCTGGGGGCCGTGGCCTGCAACCCAGGCATGTGCCCTGACTGGGAATCGAACCTGCGACACTTTGGTTCGCAGCCCGTGCTCAATCCACTGAGCTACGCCAGCCAGGGCTGGGCTCCTTCTTAGAATCAGAGAGATCCGCCATTTCCGGGCTCCGGGTACGCTGGGTCAGGGCGTTAGGCTGCAGAGAGAGACTCCGCCCCTTCTCACTTGGCTGCAACGCCCCCCCTCCCTTCCTTTCCTGGTGTCCCCAGCAGCTCCCGCCCCCAAACCCAGCCTCCACCTTCGTCACCCCCGGGCACCGTTCGGACGCCCGCGGGCGGGGACTGGGTGTCCAAAGGCGTGCCCGGTCCCCCTCTATACGCAAGAGATGATGCCACATTAAATCTGAGTCACATGCACGGGGCTCTAGGTAGCCCGCCTGATGCGGGTGGGTTTTGCTGATAAAAGGGAGCATGTGAATTAACAGGCAGCGAACTTATGTAAACAGTTGCTCGTGTCACACCCAGAAGGTGTCTCGGGGGGGCGGGGGGTGGGCTTGCTGACGAGCCCTGAGCAGCCCCGAGAGTCGCCCTGTTGGCTCTGAGCTCTTTCCAGAAACGGCACTGGGCCCGGCTGTGCTTTTGGGGATCAACGCGCCGTCAGCCGAGGCAGGACGGCCGTCGGGGTGCGGTGACGCGGGTCTGTAACCGGCTGTGAGAGCCGGTTAGACGGGGCGTGCCTGTCCCCGGCTCCCATGCAGTGACACCAGCCTCGGGGGCAGGATTTACGCCACGGAAACCGGCAGGCGCCCCGAGTCAGGGCTGTCTGGCGCCGTCGGAAAGCCGGCCTGGCGCACGCCGGTACATGCCCACGGCTGGCTCCCTTGCCGACGGGATCTGCGGACCACCCCCCCGGCCGTCCCCCAGGTGTGGGGTGCTGTGCCCCGTGCCAGCAGGGACGGCACCGGGCCAGAGCCCAGAATGCGCCCCAGACTGCACCTCGTGCCGTCCCGCAAGGGCTGCTGCTGGCTGCGGTTTCCTGGGAACCAGCGTTAAATTGCCCTGGTGTTTAAAAATTCACCTTCATGTCTAGTACTAATATCTTTGGAATCATGCATCTGAGGTGCTTTCATTGTGTTCTCATGTGCACTGCGTTAAGGACAGGACTGTGGGAGCTATTTCAGAGAATTATCCTCGGGGCTTGGAGCAGGACATGGCTCCCGCGTGGGTGTCCTCGTCGCGGCAACCAAGCGGGCGTCTCTGCAAAGCCGGCGGGGACGCGGGGGCTGCGCGGCCACAGCTGACACCGGCTCCCCAGGGAGGGCCGACCTGCGCCCCCTGCCCCGGGCCCGGCCTCGCCCCACCGGCCACTGCGCTTCACCAACGCCTGCGCCGACGCTGGGTCACGCACGCCGGCTTCTCACATTTTCCTTTCGGGCGTCGTCGTCGAACTGCGGCGGTTACAGGCCCTGCCGGGAGGTGGGTGTGGCGCCTGGGACACAGGAACCTAAATGACGGCCGGGCGGTGCGTGCCCGTCGCGCCCGGCGCCCCACGGCCTGCCCTGTGCGCGTCGTCCCCGCGCAGCTCCCGCGGGCGCCTGCGAACGGCGGGGGTGGGGGGGTCTTGCGACCGGGGAGATGGAGGGGAGAGATGAGACGTTCGGAAGGAGGACGCATCCGACCGAACGTGGGTGCAAGTGACTAGAAACCGCGTTCGGAAGTAACTTCCACCTCTCCCGGGAGACGGAGACGCTCGCACGCCCTGCAGGCGGCGGCGGCGAGCGCGGCGTGAACGCGCAGGCCCGGCCGAGGTCCGGCGCGCTGCCCGCGGAGGCAGGGGCCTGAGGGCGTGACCGGCGATACACCAGCTCCACGCTGAGACGTCCTGGCTTTGGCTCCCTCCCTTGTCCTTTTCTTCACTTGTTTTCCTTACGCTCACGTTTCACTTTTACACTCGGAAAGACCCATTCGTTCGTTCACGAGCACGGCGGTAGGCCCTCGTGCCGCACAGCGCGTGGAACCGGCCCCAGCGCGGTGCCCGCAGGGCGGGGGCGGTGCCCACCAGGTGCGCGCAGTAAATCAGCCTGACTCGGCCCCGGGGGGGGGGAGACAGGAGCCCCCTTCCCGTCGCCACCGTCTCCCCGCGCGCATCTCCCCGAGACCAGGGGCCCCGCCCCCGCCCCTGCCGCGGCCTCCACGCCGCCGCGCAGCGGGCGTTTCACAGGACAGCGCACTCCCCCCCCCCCCCCCGTGTGGCAAGAGCCTCCAGGGGCTGGTTCGGGAGAAACTGCAGCGACGCGCGTTAGGACATTTTCAGAGAGAGAGCAGCCTCTGAGCGCAGGGAGATTATTCTAATAACTTCAAATTAGTCCTCGCGCTCCCGGCCGCTCTCCTCCGCGGCGCGGTGACAGGTTGCTCTGCGGCTGCGCCGCCAGCCCGCCCCGGCTAACCTAATAACGCCTCTCTCCCCGTTTTCCCCGTCACATTAACTCTTCATAACGGGTCCTTGTTATTCGCCACTCGTCCCAGCGCGGCGCGGCGTCTTCTCCGCCGCGGCGGGGGAGCCGGGCCGGCTAAGTGGCCGGGACGTCTCATCCATCACGCGGGTAATTTTCAGCCCTGGGAGGCGGAGCGGGTGCTGCCGTTCAGGACACAGGCAAGTCCCCTGACTTTGCGGCTGGCTCCCGGCTGCGGGGGCCACTTCCCCGCCTCGGCGGGGGGCTCTCCTCCGGGACCCGCGGGGGTCACCGGGGAGGGGTGCGCGTGTCTGGGGGAACGGATCAGCTGCCGTGACAGCCCCCCGCTCCCCCCTCCCCACAGTCACTGATTCAGCCAGAAAGAAGCTGGTTTCTGCTTTGGTTCCTGCGTGAGTTCGTGAGGCAGGTCCACTCTGCAGAGGCAGGGGGGCCCGACTCTTCCCCGTTTGTCATGGCAACGCCCCAGGATGCTGCTGCGGTGGGCAGAGGCCGGGATGGCTCGTCTCCAGGGCAACCTCCAGCCCATAACCAGGGACTGGGGGGGACGTGGGGGCCGGCCTCTGCTGCTGAAGGCAGGACCCAGAAGCCATGCAGGTCCCTTCCACTCCCATCCCGTGGACAGAGCACAGGCCCCTGTGGGGGCCACACCTAGCTGCAAGGGAAGCAGGGAAGGGTCATTACTCGTCCTAATTAGTTGGGTCCCACGCCGAAAGGGTGTGCTGGCAGACGGGGGCGGCGAGCCATCTCTGACCCACGCAGGAATGTGAACACGTTGGCGAGCGGAGGGGAAGGGGCAACCGAGGTGGAGGCAGGTGACCAGGAGGAGGGGGCGCTCTGACCCGGGAGACGGCCCACTCATCAGACGGAGAGTCTGAGGCTCTGAGGTCCCCGGAGCCCAGTCTGGTGGGACGACCCCCCGACGGGAAGGAGGGGGCTCGAGGGCAGAGGACAACCTGGGCGGGGTCTTCAGACAGTCCAGGTGCACGAGCGGGAGCCCAGAGGGCCCAGGGGCGCCGGCCGGCACGACAGGGGCTGAAGAATTAAGGCCTCCCCGCTTCCAGCCAGAGCCTCCCCCGGCTCCCACGATAATGGCAGTAATGACATAAAAGCCAGACGTCCCTCTCCGCAGAGCAGCTGCTGCGCTGCTGTCAGTGCATGCTGGCCCCCTGCCACCGTGGAACTCGCCCCCAGGCCTCAGGCTCTCCTCTGTAAGACCCGGCCGGGGTAGGATCTGCAGGGCGAACGGCAAGTTCAGTGCAGCCTCTGAGCGCTGCGGTGGTTACTTCGTAAGGCTCGTTAAACGGTACCGTGTGATTCTTATCGCTTCCCGCAGCCTTGCTGGGGAGCTCCCCACGCCGCCCAGAGGCCAGCCCCCG